AGGGGTACGTTTACATTATCATACTGTAGGGATTTGTGTTTTCCTGTTTTCCTAATGCAGAGTAATCAAAACGCAGAGTAATATAGGTTTAAATTTGTGATGAAAAACATTTCCAGTAATCATAAGAATTAATCCAGACATAGAAAAATCCTGGAAAACATGAAATTCATTAGAAATTTATCACTATTACATTTAACTGTAGGTGTGTGAACATATCAGTATCAAGTGTAAGTATTGGCGTGGGAAATATTATTTGCTGAATTTTTTCAATTGTGAAAACAAATATATTACCTGGTTACTGATCTCTATCAAGTACAAAACTGTCGGTACCTGATATTACTTAATTCTTAATAAATTTCATGATGAGTGACCACTTCAAAGTACATTTAACATACAAAATATATATGATATATATACTTCACTTTTCATCTAAAACTTAAATTTATATTCATATGATAGCAGAAGCATATCTACCAAGCAGAAGAATTTGTACGATAGAAAATTTATATTTCATTTGGCAAACTTAACAAAGAAAGGTGGTTACCTAATTTATATTCTGTGTGACAGATTGAAGTTGATTCACAAATCAAACATCTCAAGTTACTGTACAAAGAAATTCTGTTCAAATCTCACACTTATCTCCCAGTCATTCAAAACTGGATTATTCTTTGTACATATATTTCAATGTTACCGAATCTGCATATGTACAAGTCCCAAACACAACTCAATCCTTTGACTGTATCAGATACAATCTATCAGACCAAAGGACAGATATTTCTATGGGTTAAGTATAGTAATACAAGCCGGTGAATTAAATCTTGGCCTGAAAACAATTCCCCCCAAAAAAACAAACAGTTATTTGACTGTAATTTGACAAAACAGATTTTTATAACATACATATGTACCTGCAGGTATATGCATGACATTGTGTGAAATTTCTTCATATATCTATTTGGGGCTCTTGCGGTTTTTTTTTGTATTTTTGTGTTCATAGAAATTATTTTCTAAACCATTTTTTTTATGAAAAGCTACATTCAGAGTGTGAACTTATTACCTATATAAAAAAAAATCTCAACAATTTCACATGAAATCAATAAATTCACTATTTCTTGATTTTCCTTTATTATGTTTGAATGCAGTATTTAATACAATACAACTCCAACCACTAGTTTCTTTAAATAACAAAACCCTGTGCTTTCCATTATATCATACTAACATAATTTTACGCGACACATTTGAAAATTAACTTGAACATGTATATATTTGATAATTAGATGATTGACAATAATATAGGTAGAATATCAAACATTCAAAGGGAAAAAAAGAAACCTACCTTAGTTGACCTTAGTGATGAATTTTAAAAGTATATAATGATTAAATGAAATCTTGTTTAAATGCTTACACTGAAAGCAACATATCTCATACACATGTCCACTCATCCTTTCCTAAATTTCCTTTTGTGAAGACATCACAAGCATGGATCTATATCAAACACTCTCTGAACCTTCTACACTTTGATGCTGTGATTGTTATTGAAGTCTTGATATATGTTTCCCTAAGTTCCTAAGACCTGATGTGTGCTAATTTATGATCACTTTGTGAGATAACAAAACCTTGGATTCCAAAGAAAACAGCTAATATTTCTGTATGTTTAGTGTGTTGACCTTAGAGCTGTTTATACAACATGTAGATATGATTTATTAAGTACCTAAATTTCTTTACTCAAGTCTGATTTTGAAGACTTTAAAGCAAGTGTCAAATCTTGTATATGGAGAGACAGATTGATAAGAAAATGAATGACGGCAACATTAACAAACAGATAAAATGCCTATATATGGCAAAGTTGCTGATAGTGAACATTACTCATCTCTTAGTTTTACATGATAAAACTTTTATCATGAGTAAACAAGTGAAGGCAACTTATGAACCCAATATATTAAAAGGAATTGTTTAGTGGTTCAAGGAATCAACAAGCAAATTTACTAAATGTCCAAATAGAAATGTTAAAAACACTAATAAAAGGTTTTTTTCTGAATATAATTCTCTCTTATTTCTTCAGTGTAATACTCTGGTTTATTCCAAATATAGATTTATATACAAATTGTACCTCTTATTGCGAGCATATTACACACTTTCTCAAATCTTACAAAAGGGAACGCCTTTTGGACAATTCTCATGGATTCTAATGTAAAAAGTCAGGTACTGAAATACATTACGTTACACAGACAGGAACAGAAAGAGATTTCATAGCATTTACTGAGGAAATATGCTTTAGTCCATGGCACCTAATACCAACTACTGATCATATGCATGGCCATCAATATTGCTGACTTTAGCACACAAACACTAAGACACTTTACCCATACCGCCATAAAACAAACAAGCTGATTTCATGGACTATTGATAGCTAAATTGGACATATTCTATAACTTGCCATTTACTATTTAGCTGGCAAGCTTAAATTTGTTCCAGAGCTTTCATGAGTTCCCATGTTACCTGTGGCATTTTTATTAAGCCAATGTCCCTCTTGTTGTTACAGTGGTGCCATGTCACCTCTGAACTAGAACCCCTATGTCGTCACAAGTCTCTAGGGAACAGCTTTCCAGGACTCTGATCTAGATTCTGACTCAATATGCATGATCTGTTAGACATGTCACAGGACTCTGATCTAGATTCTAACTCAATATGCATGGTCTGTTAGACATGTCACGGGACTCTGATCTAGATTCTAACTCAATATGCATGGTCTATTAGACATGTCACAGGACTCTGATCTAGATTCTAACTCAATATGCATGGTCTGTTCGACACGTCACAGGACTCTGATCTAGATTCTAACTCAATATGCATGGTCTGTTAGACATGTCACGGGACTCTGATCTAGATTCTAACTCAATATGCATGATCTGTTAGACATGTCACAGGACTCTGATCTAGATTCTAACTCAATATGCATGGTCTGTTAGACATGTCACAGGACTCTGATCTAGACTCTAACTCAATATGCATGGTCTGTTCGACACGTCACAGGACTCTGATCTAGATTCTAACTCAATATGCATGATCTGTTCAACATGTCACAGGACTCTGATCTAGATTCTAACTCAATATGCATGGTCTGTTAGACATGTCACAGGACTCTGATCTAGATTCTAACTCAATATGCATGGTCTGTTAGACACGTCACAGGACTCTGATCTAGATTCTAACTCAATATGCATGGTCTGTTAGACACGTCACAGGACTCTGATCTAGATTCTAACTCAATATGCATGGTCTGTTAGACACGTCACAGGACTCTGATCTAGATTCTAACTCAATATGCATGGTCTGTTAGACACGTCACAGGACTCTGATCTAGATTCTAACTCAATATGCATGGTCTGTTAGACACTCTTACCTCAGTGAGATTCATACCTACATGTAGTATTGTGATTCAGTACTATGTAACTATTATCTATGTCAAAGAAAAATCTAGACCATTCAGTAAAAGGTTCAACTCGAAGAATAATGTAAAACTAGAGGCTCAATTCCCTGTAGATAAATTAACTATCAGTGGAATTTTAATTGCTTGTAACTGAATTATTTCATAGCATTACTCTGTCCTTCTGGTCCTTGTAAGAATAATTAATTGTCCTATACAATCTTTCATCATTTGGAGAAAATTCTTTTCTACAAATGCCCTGTATACCTGGTATAGTTCTTCCCACTTTACACAATTCAAAACTCATCACATCATTTATACAGATGTATTAATTCTTCTACATTCTCAAAGTGCAAGGTCTAAATCCCAAATAGTGAAATCAATGGCTCCAAGACAGAGCAATACCTGATTACCCTTGTACATGTACTGGTCTGAGGCACAAAGTTTGGTAAGATAGCCTCACACATGTGGTAGATGTATATGTATGTAGAAGTTGAGAGCACAGGCCATCTTACTAGCCTCAGCTAGTGGGAATTTCCCTTTAGTCCAGCAGCAGAGTGTCTGGGTAGAGATCAAAGGGTTCCTAGTTTGAACCTCAGAGGTGGCAGAGTATTGTCATTACAACTTCCTAATATATACCACTCCAAGGTTAGAAATTACAGGGGATTGAGATGACCTGAGTTGTTGTTGTCTTCTGTGTCAAAGACTTTGTGGAGGAGGTAGTGTAGAAGTTGTGAGTACATCTTGCCTCACTTGCCTCAACTACTTGGAATTTCCCTGTAGTCGAGCATTATAGTTTAGACACCGAATGGTTGCTAGTTTGAACCCCTGGCAGGGTGTTTTCATAACTCCTTCCTATTACAAGCATACCAGGTGTGTGATCTGCATATGCGGACTGCACTCATCACGAGATCCTCTCTCAGTCTATGCAGTGAGCTTGTGATAGGAACACAGGCTGTGTGAGACATGATAGGAATTAATGTGTCTAGTTCTTCCTCTAATATCATTCAACCAACTATCTGAATGGACATCAAAATATGGCATACATGATGACAGTTACTTATATATATATATATATACTCAACCACGCAAGGCTTGTAATACGTGGGTGATAATTTGAAACAAAGTTTCCTGGGATCAGAAAAAATATATACGATATCAAAATTATATTATCTTCATACTTACATGTCTGTTTGCTAAACAGTTTGGAATAATCAATTCTTTGAAGCGAAAGGTTCACTCAGCTTAAGTTCGAAAGACCCAGCATGTTTACTATGCCCGCCATACTTGTTGCCACGGGTTGGCTAAATTGAAAAATTAAAATTAGTTGAAATACAATCAAAATCAAATGGCACCAAAATTTTATTATGTCAACGTAAAATATTTACTAGTAATAACATGCTCTAAATTTATTATTTGACTTGCACTATGTATCATCAGTGTTACAAAAGTATTTGGTTTTACCTTTTTACCACGGTGTTTTTAGTGAACCATTTTGCAATTTACACGCTACCACGCACTCTTCTAAAAAGAAAATGGCTGACATGTAAACAATTTCGGCTGGCAAGGCAACAAGAAAGTAGGAAAACGGTTATTTGTACAATTTCAGGAATTTTTTATGGTAATTTTTATTTTCATATTTCAGTCAGTGGCGGTTTTATACTGATAATGATATGATTTTTAAGTACACACTCTCCTGTGTAGTAATGAATATCCCTATTAACAGGTGATGATAAGGAAATTAGTTGCACTTAATCCCTATACTGAGCATCTCTGTACCAAACTACCGTCTCGGATAGTTTTAAGTCTACATCTATATCCGCGACCACGAGATGCATGCGCCGAAAAGCGATATATATAACTTAATTGGTTGTACATGTTTATAAACACAACATTAATGACTAAACAATTAGTTTCGATAAGATTTAGTAAGTGATGGCTTTATTGTCGTGGATCACTATTAATTACAGTATGTTCAGATGTTGTTTATAAACATCAAGTTTCAAGTGGCACTTTTGTTCACATGCATATGCATTTTGGTATAGCTATAGATAAATATGAAATTTTGGAAGGCTGCACTAGTAGGACACATTATCTCATTTTACAAAGGATTTTAATGGTCTGAATTCAGACACATTGGTATACAGCTGATATAAATGGTATGTATTCTGACCCTGCAATATGATAATTAAGTTATCATGTTGATGAGACAGTTACATGTCCTCATAGTATTCATGCTCAAATTATGCTCATATGCTTATTTTGGTGCTTTTGATTAACATTTATAGACCTCGAACATGGTTATGTTTGGTTGCTGGGAAAAATACATTTTATATAATGATACATGTGGAATACACATATACAAAATTAAAATGGTCGGTATACACATATGTATTATACTTAACTTGCTGGTTTCTGTTTTATTGTCATGATATTAAGACATATGATTTACATCAATTTAAAGTCTTGGGAAAATGTTTCATGCAGTTATGGTGTCTTGCATTTGAAGTGATAATACAAATAGGAAAGTAAAATTATTGATTTCTTTTCTCAGAAATTGTACAAGGGAAGATATAGAGGATATTTAATAGTGTCTTCAGTAATAACAAATATATTTCAAAAGTTTTTCTTATATTAAACAAGTGAAAGATATAAAAAAAATGTTACACATGTGAGTGAAATATATTTTTTATTACTTGATTTTATTAAATATTGTAGTTATTATATTTTCACAAGCAAAATAACAAATTACTGGCATATTTAGAAGAGATATAAAAGGAGAAAGCAGACTAGGCTTTTCACAAATCCTCTTGAAATGTCTAACGTGTTAGCTCCACATTCAAGATGATTGGTTGGAGATTAGGTTTGATTTCTAATAAGGTCATTTGTGTTGCATTGTTTGCTGACTTTGGAAATGAAAGTTTTCCATGGAATTGAATGCCTTGTTACTAGCAAACAACACTTTCAGGTTTCTGGTTTTGTGATTTTATAAGATGATTTGTGTTCTCTCTTTTCATTGGTGTAAGTCTGCAAAAGTGTTCTTTCTCACTAGTGAAAAATGACACTTTTGTCAATGAGATATTTCTCTATATTTCACTGGTAAAAATGTAATAACTTCCACATCTTGCATGTTATTTCTATAGTCTTATTGCTTGCCCCATATATTTTTCAATATACAAGAAAGAAACCTACAAGTTTGATTTGGCGTCCGGGATGGTAACTATATACATGTGATTCATAAAGAACAATTGTTTATGAACAAAGCAATTATTATAGTTATATAATCATAATATAAATTATTTGATTTTTTTTAAGTTACGAAGATGTGAATGATGGGGAGTTCAGCATCTAAAGATACAGCCACCACCCAGCAGAAGTTTTTGATTGGCTCATTAACCAGGAAGTCTGATCTTGACCAGAAATTTTTCAAATTGAGTTACCATTGCTTGACTCAAAGTCCTACAAGTTTAACAGAAAACAGAGACATTGATTTACATGAGAAGAATGAAAAATGTTTTACTGAAAATCAACATATCCAACATGAAATCATGGATTTGGGAAATAATGATGCAGTGGAGAGCATTGGATGCAGAGCCGTAAGAGGAGATAACAAAAGATCAAGTAAAATTCTAAACCATAATTATGATAATGAATGTATGGTTTCCGTTCCAGATTTGTTTTTGCCAATTCTTGGCTCCAAAAAACTTGTCTGTGCACAGACATATGTTGCATGGCGATCCATTATGGACCTAGAAAAGCTCAAATCACTTTTGGTGAAAAGGAGATTGATATACCTTGTGCAGGTAGATGACTTTCCAGACTTCTTGAATAATTTCCGTGTCCCATTTCATTCAGAGGAAATAACAATATTTGATTTAGCAGAGAAATTTCTTGGAGTTTTCTTCACAGGAATGACAGTGAAGTGGATTCAGAGTTTATCTATTGCAGAGAGAAAATGGGACATAACTTCCAGACACCATAAAAAGACTGGCAAGTTTCAATACCTTGTCACAGATTTCTTTCCCTTGCTGGCAAACATTTGTCCAAAAGATGGTTATTGTATTATGGGGTTAATTTGGTCAGATCTTTACCCGAAAGAAGAATTGAATTTTGTTTTAGGAGAAGCACACAATTCATTTAAGTCAGGGATTGTGAGTTTTGGACGATTTGAACCAAAGACTTACATCGAGGGAATACATCAGGATATCATATCAGTCACTACAGAAGTTGTTTGGAAATTATTAAAAGTAAGATTTTATATGTTGTCAACGAAGTGCTAATAATTCATTTTCATATTTACTTTGATACATGTTTTATTTAGTTCTGAAACTTTTTAATTCATTAATCTTTATCTAACACACAAATTATCGTTTGTATTTGTTTAATATGGAAGTATTTATTTCACAAAGAAACCACATTTGATTTTATATAGTTATATGGTACATATTTCATTTGTATTAAATGGGCACATTGAACCAGGGGAGATAATCATTTCAGTCATGAAATATTTCTTTGGTAATTTGATGAAAAAAGGTCATAAATCATTGTAAAATGAGTGTTAAAGACAATATTTGTGGAAATTAATTACCATCTTCAATTATGTAAGTTTCGTATTTGTAATATATGTTGTTTTTTTTTCAGTGCCTAAGCCATGAACTTTGTCACCTGTTCGGGATGGCACATTGCGACTTTTTCGGTTGTACTATGAATGGCAGTGGTTCAGTAAAAGATGCCATGGATCAACCATTGTTTCTGTGTCCAGTGTGTGTCAGGAAACTTCAACATATTTGTAAATTTGATATTCTTGAAAGATATGAGAATATGGAAAAATTCCTTGTGGAGATGAACAAACAATTCCCATCAGAACGTTGGAATAGATCTATGGTTTGGATACAGAATTGTTTGAAATATCTTAAAACAACTGCAACATATCTTTGAATGTTTTTGTTAATATATAAAACTCTTTGAATTTATTTTGTTCTTGCAAGACTTTTTTCTGCACAAAAAAACCAGGTAAACAATTAATGATATACTGTAAATATCTGAGTTGGTTGACAGCTGATCAAATGTCAGTCATATGTCACAGATTTATTTATTTGATTAATGAATGTTAATTGATAAATGTTATTTTATTATAAAGATCTTATTTTGTTTTATTTACTACTTACTAATTGATTTGATAATAATGGTTTAATTTTAATTAATTAGTTTGCCTAATCAATTTTAGAAATAATGGTCTTTAATTGACATAAATTGCATGCAGTTTGTCATTGCTATCTAGCTTAAGTTTAACAGATTAATTAATAAAATTGTCATTTAAGTCTTATTTCTTATCCTAATACCCACTATCATATAAAATGTTCTTTAAATACTCGAAGGTGATCATTACTTTGTAATATGTATTTATTTACGTGTAGATTAGAAATAGAATTTGGCAATCTACATGAACGACATATTGAGCCAGTTGGTGTACTTTTACTGAAACATTCCACTTTTAAAACTGATAGGTTTGATCAACCTTTACTGTCAGGTATATGATCAACCTTTACTGTCAGGTATATGATCAACCTCTCCTGTCAGGTATATGATCAACCTCTCCTGTCAGGTATATGATCAACCTCTCCTGTCAGGTATATTATCAATCTTTACTGTCAGGTATATGATCAACCTTTATTGTCAGGTATATGATCAGCCTTTACTGTCAGGTATATGATCAACCTTTACTGTCAGGTATATGATCAACCTTTACTGTCAGGTATATGATCAGCCTGTACTGTCAGGTATATGATCAACCTTTACTGTCAGGTATATGATCAACCTTTATTGTCAGGTATATGATCAACCTCTCCTGTCAGGTATATGATCAACCTTTACTGTCAGGTATATGATCAACCTCTCCTGTCAGGTATATGATCAACCTTTACTGTCAGGTATATGATCAACCTTTACTGTCAGGTATATGATCAACCTTTACTGTCAGGTATATGATCAACCTTTACTGTCAGGTATATGATCAACCTTTACTGTCAGGTATATGATCAACCTTTCCTGTCAGGTATATGATCAGCCTTTACTGTCAGGTATATGATCAGCCTTGACTGTCAGGTATATGATCAACCTTTACTGTCAGGTATATGATCAACCTTTACTGTCAGGTATATGATCAACCTTTACTGTCAGGTATATGATCAACCTTTAGTGTCAGGTATATGATCAACCTTTACTGTCAGGTATATGATCAACCTTTACTGTCAGGTATATGATCAATCTTTAGTGTCAGGTATATGTCATATATGATCAACCTTTACTGTCAGGTATATGATCAACCTTTACTGTCTTTACTGTCAGGTATATGATCAACCTTTACTGTCAGGTATATGATCAACCTTTACTGTCAGGTATATGATCAACCTCTCCTGTCAGGTATATGATCAACCTTTATTGTCAGGTATATGATCAACCTTTACTGTCAGGTATATGATCAACCTTTATATGATCAACCTTTACTGTCAGGTATATGATCAACCTTTACTGTCAGGTATATGATCAACCTTTACTGTCAGGTATATGATCAACCTTTACTGTCAGGTATATGATCAACCTCTCCTGTCAGGTATATGATCAACCTTTACTGTCAGGTATATGATCAACCTTTACTGTCAGGTATATGATCAACCTTTACTGTCAGGTATATGATCAACCTCTCCTGTCAGGTATATGATCAACCTTTACTGTCAGGTATATGATCAACCTTTACTGTCAGGTATATGATCAACCTTTATATGATCAACTGTCAGGTATATGATCAACCTTCAGGTACTGTCAGGTATATGATCAACCTTTACTGTCAGGTATATGATCAACCTTATATGATCAACCTTTACTGTCAGGTATATGATCAACCTCTCCTGTCAGGTATATGATCAACCTTTACTGTCAGGTATATGATCAACCTTTACTGTCAGGTATATGATCAACCTCTCCTGTCAGGTATATGATCAACCTTTACTGTCAGGTATATGATCAACCTTTACTGTCAGGTATATGATCAACCTTTACTGTCAGGTATATGATCAACCTTTACTGTCAGGTATATGATCAACCTCTCCTGTCAGGTATATGATCAACCTTTATTGTCAGGTATATGATCAACCATTACTGTCAGGTATATGATCAACCTTTACTGTCAGGTATATGATCAACTTCTCCTGTCGGGTATATGATCAACCTTTACTGTCAGATATATGATCAACCTCTCCTGTCGGGTATATGATCAACCTTTACTGTCAGGTATATGATCAACCTTTACTGTCAGGTATATTATCAATCTTTACTGTCAGGTATATGATCAACCTTTACTGTCAGGTATATGATCAACCTTTACTGTCAGGTATATGATCAACCTTTACTGTCAGGTATATGATCAACCTTTACTGTCAGGTATATGATCAACCTTTACTGTCAGGTATATGATCAACCTTTACTGTCAGGTATATGATCAACCTTTACTGTCAGGTATATGATCAACCTTTACTGTCAGGTATATGATCAACCTTTACTGTCAGGTATATGATCAACCTTTACTGTCAGGTATATGATCAACCTCTCCTGTCAGGTATATGATCAGCCTTTATTGTCAGGTATATGATCAGCCTTGACTGTCAGGTATATGATCAGCCTTTACTGTCAGGTATATGATCAACCTTTACTGTCAGGTATATGATCAACCTTTACTGTCAGGTATATGATCAACCTTTACTGTCAGGTATATGATCAACCTTTACTGTCAGGTATATGATCAACCTTTACTGTCAGGTATATGATCAACCTTTACTGTCAGGTATATGATCAACCTTTCCAACCTGTCAGGTATATGATCAACCTTTACTGTCAGGTATATGATCAACCTTTACTGTCAGGTATATGATCAACCTTTACTGTCAGGTATATGATCAACCTTTACTGTCAGGTATATGATCAACCTTTACTGTCAGGTATATGATCAACCTTTACTGTCAGGTATATGATCAACCTTTACTGTCAGGTATATGATCAACCTTTACTGTCAGGTATATGATCAACCTCTCCTGTCAGGTATATGATCAACCTTTACTGTCAGGTATATGATCAACCTTTACTGTCAGGTATATGATCAACCTTTACTGTCAGGTATATAATCAACCTCTCCTGTCAGGTATATGATCAACCTTTACTGTCAGGTATATGATCAACCTTTACTGTCAGGTATATGATCAACCTTTACTGTCAGGTATGTAATCAATCTTTCCTGTCAGGTATTATATCAACCTTTACTGTCAGGTATATGATCAACCTTTACTGTCAGGTATATGATCAACCTTTACTGTCAGGTATATGATCAACCTTTACTGTCAGGTATATGATCAACCTTTACTGTCAGGTATATGATCAACCTTTACTGTCAGGTATATGATCAACCTTTACTGTCAGGTATATGATCAACCTCTCCTGTCAGGTATATGATCAACCTCTCCTGTCAGGTATATGATCAACCATTACTGTCAGGTATAAGATCAACCTTTACTGTCAGGTATATTATCAATCTTTACTGTCAGGTATATGATCAATCTTTACTGTCAGGTATATGATCAACCTTTACTGTCAGGTATATGATCAACCTTTACTGTCAGGTATATGATCAACCTTTATAGGTATATTATCAACCTTTACTGTCAGGTATATGATCAACCTTTTCTGTAAGGTATATGATCAACCATTACTGTCAGGTATATGATCAACCTCTCCTGTCAGGTATATGATCAACCTTTACTGTCAGGTATATGATCAACCTTTACTGTCAGGTATATGATCAACCTCTCCTGTCGGGTGATCAACCTTTACTGTATGATCAGGTATATTATCAACCTTTACTGTCAGGTATATGATCAACCTTTACTGTCAGGTATATGATCAACCTTTCCTGTCAGGTATATGATCAACCTTTACTGTCAGGTATATGATCAACCTTTACTGTCAGGTATATGATCAACCTTTACTGTCAGGTATATGATCAACCTTTATTGTCAGGTATATGGTCAACCTTTACTGTCAGGTATAAATAACGTCCAGTGGTACCGAAGTGTACCTTGATAACATCCTGTGGTACCGTAGCGTACTCAGATAACGTCATGTGGTACCGTAGTGTACTCAAATAACTTCCTGTGGTACCGCAGTGTACTCAAATAGCGTCCTGTGTTACCGTAGTATACTCGGATAACGTCATGTTGTATAGTAGTGTACTCTGATAACGTCCTGTGATATCGTAGTGTACTCAAATAACGTCCAGTGGTACCGAAGTGTACCCTGATAACATCCTGTGGTACCGTAGTGTACTCAGATAACGTCATGTGGTACCGTAGTGTACTCAAATAACGTCCTGTGGTACCATAGTGTATTCAAATAATGTCCTGTGGTACCGAAGTGTACCCTGATAACATCCTGTGGTACCGTAGTGTACTCAGATAACGTCCTGTGGTACCATAGTGTATTCAAATAATGTCCTGTGGTACCGTAGTCTACTCAGCTAACGTCCAGTGGTAATGGAGTGTACTCAGATAACATACTGTGGTGCTGTAATGTACTCAGATTACGTCTCGTGGAACCGTTATTTACTCAATATCAAATATAGTTTACTTAGGTAAAGCCATGATAGTACCGTATTGTACTCAGACAACACCCTCATGGTGCAGTGGTCTAATCGGATAACGCCCTGATTCAGACAACACCCTAACGGTATCGTTGTTTATTGAGACAACACCCTGATGGTATCGTAGTTTACTGAAACAACACCCTGATGGGTTCGTAGTTTACTTAGAGAACACCCTGATGATATCGTCGGTTACCGAGACAACACCCTGATGGTATCGTAGTTTACTTAGACAACACCCCGATGGTATCGTAGTTTACTTAGACAACACCCTGATGGTATCGTAGTTTAATTAGACAACACCCTGATGGTATTGTAGTTTACTTACACAACACCCTGATGGTATAGTAGTTTACTTAGACAACTACCTGAGTGTATCGTAGTTTACTTAGACAACTACCTGATGGTATCGTAGTTTACTGTAACAACACCTTGATGGTATCGTAGTTTACTGAGACAACACCCTGATGGTATCGTAGTTTACTGAGACAACACCCTGATGGTATCGTATGTTACTTACACAACACCCTGATGGTATCGTAGTTTACTGAGACAACATCCTGATGGTATCGTATGTTACTTACACAACACCCTGATGGTATCGTAGTTTACTGAGACAATATCCTGATGGTATCGTATGTTACTTACACAACACCCTGATGGTATCGTAGTTTACTGAGACAATATCCTGATGGTATCGTAGTTAACTTAGACAACTACTTGATGGTATTGTAGTTTACTTACACAACACCCTGATTATATCGTAGTTTACTGAGACAACACCCTGATGGTATCGTATGTTACTTACACAACACCCTGATGGTATCGTAGTTTACTGAGACAATATCCTGATGGTATCGTATGTTACTTACACAACACCCTGATGGTATCGTAGTTTACTGAGACAATATCCTGATGGTATCGTAGTTAACTTAGACAACTACTTGATGGTATTGTAGTTTACTTACACAACACCCTGATGGTATCGTAGTTTACTGAGACAATATCCTGATGGTATCGTATGTTACTTACACAACACCCTGATGGTACTTCCATCTACTCGGACAACTTTGTGCTACTGTAGTCTACTTACACATCGCCAGAGGAAAGTTGGCGAATTTAAATAAAAAGTTTTGTATCTTGTATGGTTATATTTGTGTCGAAAAGGAAACTTGATCGTCTAGGGTGTGATGATGGGTGTATAAAATTGCTTTTTAAAGTAAGCACACGTTCAATATAGTCCTCTTTGTTTTGGTTTTGAAGATAATAGTTTATGAGGTAAAACGATAATGAGACTTTGTATTTGTTTATTAGGTTTATATACATAAGTGATGTAGGCTACTTATCGGTGTACTACAGTGGTTATCTGTACTGATTGTTGTCATCTCATATGATACCACGTGTTCATATTATCACACCTTTACAGGCACGCGCTGAATCAGTACAGAGTCGTCAAGATGGCGCTTACAAACTCTAGTTTGATTTTAGTATTACTTACTGTAACAGTTGTTAATGCAAAAAATATCTATCTTGCACGTGAATGGAGGGAGTGGAAACTAAGGTATGGTAAAGTTTACAGCAACCAAACTGAGGAAACGGAAAGACGGCACGCGTGGGAAAGGTCATTCTACTATATTCGTCAGCATAGCAACAGACCAGGTGACTTATCATTTACTGTCGGAATGAATTCAAGGGCCGATATAGTAAGTTACTGTAGTGAATATGTTTAAAATGTGACTATGATTAAAATAACATACAATAGAGGCAAATCTTGAGTTAATCTGCACCATACAGCTATTTCGTCCTTCTAGGACTCGTTAGTTATTAAGCTAATGATCTTATAACACAGGATGCGATTATATAGAATCCAGACATAAAAGTATGAATATATTGTAAATAAAGTAATAACGGCAGTACAGTGAATTGTCAAATTTCGAGATAATCTGTCCCTTTATAAAGACACAAATATAACGTTAATTGCATAACATACATATAATATTAAACAAAGTTATAAAGGAAAATCGAGAGCAGTAGTGCATATTTAGATAGCTGGATAATCCCTTCGGCCGATGGACGCCGAATTCGATGGCTCTTTACAAGAAACAAAAAAAAAATATTCTAAGATATTGTATTGAAGATGGTGGTTAACATATCAAATATGTTTCATTTATATTTCGGTATGTTTTGCACTGTACACACTGAGCGTATATGTGATCGCAACGAAAACAGTTGCACGTCACACGCCGAGGAAAGTAATATACCGGTACATCTCAGCCACATTCTAAATGAGGAATTATTTTATTAGAAGTAAGAAAATTTATCGTAAAAAAATAATACATGTATGTGTAGTTACAATAAAATATATTTTGATAAGAGTCACAAGTTAAATGCACAAAAAATATATGTAAAGAATATTATGATGAATATGGTCAAACAGCCACCAGATTCGTCAACTCGCCCAGCAGAAATAAATTAGAATTTCGACTTCCGGACTACAGGTAATAGTCGGCGCCAATTTTAAACAGGAAGGAAAGCAGATACATGAACTAAATGAAAAGTGAAATAGATTGAGAAAGTAAGTTTTAAAAATGTGGGAGGCCGGATGGGTGGGTGATACTTCGCTAGTTGCATCAGTGGTGGCATGAGATGTACCGACTGCCAGGTATTTCTGACCGGACCTGTATGTAGTAGCAGGATCATTTCTCGTTCATGTCGAATAGGTAGCTGGTTTGGAGTTGGTTGATCCAATGCCGTTCCTTCCTGAGGCGTTGCTGGTCAACCCAACTCCTGCAGTGGTCAATGGATACCACCTGCATGTCATGCCACGAGTGACTTGGCATGTTGAAATGTCTTGCTACAGACAGGTCCGGGCGTTTCCTGAGATAAAGTGGTGTTTTGGTCTTCCCTTAATACTGCAAATGGCACTTGGCACACGTAATCAAGTGTACTACATGGCCGGTGTGCAGGATACCGACTGGGGGATGTGATAGTTCTGACCGTTGACCTCGAATTTGAATGAACTTGTGCTGTGAGTACATGTATATGTACAATGCATGCACCTATTACTGTTACATGTTTTGAAACAGCCAATTGCAGTAGTGTTGAAAGTTGCTGGTAGCCACCAAGTCTTTAATGTTCTTCGGTCTGCGATAAGCTAGTATTGGTTTTCGTAAAATAATCTGAAGTTTACAAGACTACAGTGGGATTTGTCAGATTTTCTGGAAGTTCGTTGACAATGGTGGTATGCTGGAGTGAAAAGTCACCAAAGAAGGTGCTCTTCTACGTTTTGGTCGGACTTGGTATTCAAGTGTAATAGCCTTGCATGGTTCTTTAATTCTATTGATTTCGCGGTCGATCAAAACTACTTTCACATCTCCTGTTGAGTAGATTGGATCTCAGTTCTAAGCAATGTCATCTCAAGACGTTGTCATCAGAAACAATACGTCTGATTCTCAACGGAGTATGGAATGCCCCTTGTGGTTTGAGGTGGGTGACAACTAGATGGGCGAAGGTACTGGTGAGTTTCCATGGGTTCACTGTATAAATCCATGCTTATTTCTCCTTTGGTGAGTGCTGAACAAGTGTCCAAGAAAGTGTATTTCTCGCTGGAGATGTCAGCAGTAAACTTAATGGTCCTGTGGAATTCGTTGGTAAAACAAATGAAATTCTCAAGAAATTCTTGTCCGGATGTCCGCTTGATCTCAATATCATCAGTGAATCTAAACCAGCTGAGTGGTTTCGTGGGGCTGCTGCAAGTAGCCGAGACTCAAGGTGGCCTATTAATATACATGCATATAATGGTGCCGTCTTGGTTCCCATGGCAGTACCACTGATTTGTGAATTATGCTCTCCATTGAATGTAAAGTTGTTCAACGTGATGAGCATTAACTTTAGAAGGTCTACCTGTTGGAGGATGTTTGTTCTCCCTGATGTCCCATGCTGTACGGTAAGCTAAGATTCCATCCTGGTGCAGTGAGACTGCATCCATATTTACCAAGAGCGTGTCTTAAGGTAGATTACTATATTTTTAGATAGTCTGTTGTATCTAGCTTGAGAGATGCACGTAAACCACATTTCGCAATTTTCATGTTTCTGGTAAACGTCAAGTACATGTCTATATTCTGAACCGTTCCACTACTCATATAAAACGTGGTCGGGTGGCGCAGTGGTAACGCACTCGCCTTTCACCTAGTCGTCCGGAGTTCGTTTCCCGGGATGGACGTTTAAAGCTAAGGGTCACTTGCCCGACCATGTGGGTTTTCCCCGGGTACTCCGGTTTCGTCCCACAATAAGACCCCTCGCGCGCTTACATCCAGGCCAACAAGAGAGATTAGTATAAGATGAAATAACTTGTTTCTCAATTGTTGTAAGTTTATATCTATATTATAAAACGTGGCACGTAGGTTAATGTTTTCGTTGTCGGCGGTGAATCTTGAGCATCCAGCACAGAAGAAGAATGAAGCAGATAAATGTACGAGGTGACCTGCGAGGTTTTTTTCAGTCTTGAAAACTAGAAAAAATAATGTAATTAAATCATATCTATTGGATATATCACAGCGCAATTTTATTTTGAAATGGTAAAACATCTTCGTCTGTGTTGAAAGTTAAGGTGGCGTTAACATCCCAAACATCTCCTTCAACATTTATTAGACCAGCCAATCATGGCCGTCTTTGACGCAAGCCACACCTCCTTCCAACTGTACAGAAGTTATGTACATTTCGAGAAACACTGCAGCTCTATCCAGTTAGATCATGTGGTACAGATTGTTGGTTATGGAGTTGAAAACGGCACAGATTTCTGGATCGTTAAAAACAGCTGGGGTAAGAAACAGAAAGTACCTGACATTTGTCAGTCTTAACTCTTACAATAAAGGGATTCCGCATTACCGTGATAAAAAACATAACCTTCACCGAACAGTTCATATATACATATAAATCGTTCAAACACTTGCAATCTATGCACATGATTACTTGTTAGATTTCACATTGCATATCTAAGAACGACGGCCTCGTCTTTATACATTAATGATGCGAATGTCTTTGATTTTGATAAATCACTTCAGTTGCTTCAGTTTGAATAATTATTTCTAAAATCCTACATTAATTACATTAAAATTAATACATTAATTGCTACACTTATACATATTATTTTTTGAAAAAGAGAAGGACAAAAATAATGACAAAAATGAAATGGACACTTTGCTGTCTTGTTAATGAATAAACTGAAAAAAACGTTTTTTAAAAAGCATCAATTTTGAAATTCTCACAAGAAATGTTCCGCAGGAAATGACTGCGGAAAGATTTTCTAAAGAAAGGACAGCTTGTAAACCCCTAATGATAAACTGTAAAATGTGTTTCTCATAATGAAATAGAAAAGTTGACAAGTTATGATGATATACACTGTACCACATAGGAATACCTACCTTCTGCTACCCTGCCTCTTGTATCACAGTAGCTATAAACAAACACTGTTGTTGTGTCGCTGAATCAACTTTGCGAAATCACCTACCTCCTCTCCCGTAAATAGTCGTATTTATTAAAACTTTCATGTAGCAGGAAACAAACAGTTGTAGCATGTTACATGTATTTATAAATATATATGAACTACATAACAAATGTAGTAACAATAGATACAAATTGTGGGGACAAAAAGTTTCCCTTGATTTTTTACTTGTGATTGTCACGGTTACCAACACAAACAAATGCTAAAAATGGCAAAATATCACTAATTTCAACCTAAAACTACAACGTCATAGTGGAATTTGTTTTTTAACACATGCCTAAAAATCAACGTCATGGTAACAAATCATCACGCTTCAGCAAATTCGACTTCCTGTAGAGCTTGTGTTTAGTGTGTAGATACAGATTCGAGACTACCCAAACACTAATCTCTAACGTAAAATTATTATTTTTTCCAATAGGGTAGTATAATGAATACAACATTTCCTACGGCTACACCGAAACACTGTGTATTTACTGCCAGTCTTTGTCACCTTTATAATGATTCTACCTTATATTGATACGACAAGTCATGACGGTTCGACGATTTTTCAGAGAATCTACATTATTTACGATATATTTCATCGTTTAGTATCTTTGATAAGTATTTTATCATTTTGGAATATTTATTACAAGTGTAACGAATTTTTTTTTTTTAACTTTCATTTCCAGGTGCAGACTGGGGTATGAATGGTTATATATTAATGAGTAGGAACAAGGACAATCAGTGTGGTATCGCCAGTGCTGCTTCGTTCCCAGTACTTGGCTAACGGAAGTCCGGGTACATCATCACCAGTTCGTCTTCAATCATAACGGATCATGGACTATTGTTTCACAATTTTATTTGTAGTTACAAAAATGTTTTATTATCTGAATAGATATCAGCGAACAAGACTTTGAAGAAGTCTTCATTATATAAAATATCACGCCTCAATTCATGAGTATGTGCAAGTTCGTTTTCATTAGAATGATAGATAAATATAGATGAATACACAGTGAATATCGTACTAAGTATTAGGGGACTGACGGATAATATAAATACACATATCAGATAAGCCACAGATCAAATTAGTTAGGACATATCCTTACACTACATCTGCTTATAGAAACTATATTCCATTTCTGTGATATTTGGTTAAAATACATATATTCACTTCATTTCAATTTAAATAAAGTATAGCAATAATATTCACTAAATTTCTTTGTTTGTTTGGGGTTTATTTTCATGATATTTGTAATTAATTTCCGTTTGTATTACATATATTACATTGTGTTTGGTACAATTTCACGTGTGGTATTTTGGTACATTTTCACGTGTGGTATTTTGGTACAATTTCACATGCGGTAATTTATTATAATTTCACGTGTGGTATTTTATTATAATTTCACGTGTGGTATTTTGTATGTCTATTAGATGATAGAAATGGCCTACATTTGTTAAACAAAATCACAACGAAAAAATAAAAAGGAAAAAATGAATTAAAAAAGCCCGATGAAATCCCAATAGTTAGCCCATTCTTGTATTTTTATACCCAAATAAAAATCTAGATGGTGGCAATGCTAATGTAATAAGAAAATGAACGAAGAGAGGAATTTCTGACGATATCAATTATAAAGATCCGAAACACCTGCACTATAGTGGCATGCTGCCATTGACTCCTCCAATTATGATCAAGTGGGCAGCGCTAGATGAAGAAGCGACGTATCAGAAACTTGCATTTGCGTACAAGGAACGAAAAAAATATTACTTGTTAAAAAATTTCATTTCGAAAACCATTTAGTTCATAAATAATATCGTTTCCTTATCATGTCAGGATTTTCTTCTTTTTTATTTATTTATTTTGACAAATCAATATCAACATATATATACCTGTAGTAAATAAAAGACATCCCAGGATACCACTTTATCTTCAAGAATACCAGACAAGAGAAGACGTATTAATATAAGTAAGAACTTCTCTCTGAATTCTCTCTTCATTGATCTGTTGTATATGCTTATTTAAACCAAGAAAATACTGTTTAAACCAAAACCAGACCACAAATCTAGGACACCGTTATACGGTATTTGACATCTTGACTGTAGAATTTAAAGATAATGTTAACGTGTTTATTGAGAGATAAAAAAAACCCCACTCAGTCTTGTACTTCAAATCTAGTGAATGGAACTTACAAATTTGAGCTATCATGGAGTTCAAGCAATTTCAGACGCAAAGTTCACAGAAATAATTTTTCGATCGTTCGCTCTGTGTTACACCTCAGTCGAATAAGAATTTTTCAACGCTGAAAATATCAATAGTCAAAGCCCAACAATGATTAGTCATTAATCTAATGCCTAAAATGCTTTGTTTGTGAGGTCAACTTTTATCAGAATATGAGATAATTGATGGATGATTTTTCAATTCACTTTATTTTTGAAATTCACCGTAAATCGTCTTTTGGATAATGCTAAATGAGGAAAACAATTTATTCCAGTGTGAAGGCTCCAATTTAAATTTTGTCAATTTAAGAAATAGACACCAAAACAACTGATGTACATATCAAAACAAGTTACTTAAAGCTGTTCTTCTGTCATTTGTTCTCATAGAACCTATAACTAATAATCTTAGGGGCACTTTCTATATTGGTGTTTGTTCTTATTCAAAACTTCAAATATAGAGGACATATATTTGTGTATACTCTAAATTTTTTAATTCAAGAAAAATAGTTATCAACAAATTTCTGTAAAGATATACAATGTCCCTTTATAAAGAAGGTAGGAAAACATTTTCAAGTCCTGGCATGTAAGAAAATGGATTAGTGAGTTAAGGGAAAAAAACCGTAGTTTATTTTAATTCTTGTTTGGTGATAACTTGACTATCAGGTGTGCTTCTTTTGATTATATATGTTTTTATGATATCGAACACTCTTAAAAATGTATGGATCTAACCATATCCAATCTATTGCTCTTGTTGGGCAAGCAGCTCATTCTTTTGTCTTTCCTTCAAACCAGCATGTTCCTATTCTGTTATACCGCACCTAATTATGATTTCGTTTTTCTTACTTCTTCTTTTTGGGTCTGCTTAATTGTGGTTTAAGCATCATGGAACAACGTTGACAGAAAGAAAGAGATAAAGCATAAAATATTGAATACACCTTTAATCTAAACTACATTTGAATGCGTCAGTTATTTTCATTCTTTTTATATGCAGTTATATTGTAATACAATATGGTCTTGATAAGCAATAACTGTAAACTTTAGAACAGCAATGTTAAATATTATCTGTATGTCACTTTCAGCTCCCTTCAAACACCGATTCCTCCAGTCACAGGGACAACTGACAGAGTAAAAATACACGTGTAATGGTCCGATGTTAAATACCGATTTTTTCTACAATAGTGACAACAATTGTCTTTCTTAAACGACGTTCGAATTTGTCGTTTGAGAGGTTGTCTTCAACGACGATGAATATACTTCATCTCACTGGAACATCTGGATGTCTCCCTTTTCATTTTTAACATGTTTGATACTCTGTAGGTCTTTTTGTAAACTCTTTAATCATATATTGGTAATTTCCTGACGTCGAAAATCGTAAGAGCATTTTAAAATAAAGAATTAATTCGATTGCATACGAAAAATAGTAATCTTACCACAAAATGACTGTACAAAAGAGTCTAATGATGGAAAATTCATCAGACATCAGGAGAGTCGTAAAAAATAAAAAACGGAAAAACGATTAGTTCATTAATCGTAAAAAAAATGTCACTGCATTTATAACACGGCATGCGATTGGATACTAGCTGAATCACTGATTACGTAACAATAACGCCTGATGACGTGTTCACGGAAGTTTGATTTTCCTCAGAAGCGCCTTTACTATCATACCAAAGTCGTGGATGTCATTTAACTTTTCATAGTCTTGTGATACTCGGTGGTGATCCATAGAAAATCCTGCATCTGTCACTCGCTGAAAATGGAAATATGTAAAATATTAAAATACTACAGTAAACGAGAAAAGTTAACGTGAATTTCATTTGTCACTCATTGTAACTGGTAACATGCAAGCAGAATACTACAATTGCCACTGTCTATAAACGAAAACGGTTAAAATGTGAGTATCCTATCTGTCATTCCTCGTAAATATAATCAAATATTTTGTGAATAACGCATATGTCACTTGAATATTGAAATATAGAACGGATTATCTAGGATCTTTCTTGATTCACCAATCACAACTTTTGTCAGTAATGCATTTAAATTCATAATGATCTTGTCACTAATGCAGGTTTACATACATGTATACACGAAGTTACACGTAGTCACTAACAGTTCTGATAACTGCACATGATTGTTAACATTGTTAACAGACTGGACTTTGATCATCAATTGATTTACCATTGGAAATAAAGTAAGGAACAACTCCAACACCCAAACATACCATTTACCCGTTTAATATATCTACAATGTTGTTTTAAGAGGCCTCACTTTTATGCTAATTTGGAAATAGAGCTGATAGAGAATACTATTATTCAATTTAGTTTCTACGCAAAATGCATCCACTTTCAGTAAGACCGCGAAAATTTGAATAATCTAAAAAAAAAAAAAAAAACCGCTACATTCCTTAGCGTTGTGAATTTACTTGTAAAATGTGTCAGAAAGCATGCATTCGTGAAGGCAATTAAGAATTACATAATTCAATGTGTTACTCACGTTGTTCTTCAAAGTTATCCGTATTGATTCAGCAGAAATGTTTCCGTGGACCAATTCTTGTTTGTGAAGGTAAACTAGACTCTCCAACAAGCTATGGATTATGTTGAATGCGTCTCCAATCTGTACCTCTGATTTGGGATTACACAGGTACTCACGAAGTGGCAGGCTGCCCCTTTTGTAGCGGAACGTTTTCATCACGTCCAAAACCATATTGGTCAATTCGGTTTCTGAGTAAACCGTTAAATGTTATATTAAGCCAAATGCAAAGTAAATGTTATTTTTAAAAAAGGCTGATCAGCATTATCATCAATACCTGATTTGCTGAGAACTCTAAAACTTTTTCAGTGAGGTGTTCTCACGTTCATTAGGCTATTATTTTAAAAGCCGATATTAAAAAGCGTTCTACCTACCTGATTTTAGGCCCCTATTACTGGAGGATCGATGTTGTTGATTCTGTAATAATACGTACAGTAGTAATTATGATAGTGAGTGATAACTTGAACAACGGTAAAATCTACGAAGAGATAGACATGAATTTCATTATACAGCATACAGAGAGTACAGTTCTATATACACAATTTCATATAAAGAAAGTATAGTGTTATATGCAGTTGTACTAAGGTCAGTGATATGTGCAATTATGCTACAGGGAGTCAGTGTTAGGTGCAGACATAATCACAGATAACACGGTGTTTTGTGCAGTTATACACCGTTGTCTTCATTAGTCGCCTATGTTTGGTTTGTGCTCTGGTAGATTAAATAGATCTTGTTTTGTTACGAATAAATATCATACCACATGCCTTATCTGAAAACAGGGCAGGATGTTTCTTGGTTGTTAATAAGAAAGTTCATATTTAACATTTTTATTCGGCGCAATTTGTGTCTATGATTAACGACCAGAGAGTTATATCTTGTTTTTTACAGTTATACTCGGTGCAATTTATGTTTGTGATTAACGTTCAGAGATTTATATCTTGATTTTTACAGTTACAAGTGTCGTACCTATCCTGTCCATTAAAGTCCATTAAAGACATATTGAACGTTTTCTATTCTCACACTATTAAATTTAGCTTCAGTTAATGTGAAGGAGAGGTAAGATTTGATTACTGAGATCCCACCGTACATTACTGTGAATGTCAATTGTTCTTTCGAGAAAGAAAATCATACTAACCAATAAACATTTCTTATTTCTTTACCTAACTATATATAACACATTAAGCATATTTCAAAATGGCATGTCTACTAAAAGATTAAAAATTTGGACACCTTTCTCCTTTTCCACGTGTTTGCTAATGTGTAGAGGAATGGATTAATTGCCGAGTTGATGGGCAGAACAAAGACCATCACCCAGGCGTAAACATCTCCTGTTACACTTCCTCCCAGTGACGTCCAGATACCTGCAACATCATAATATATGCATCTGGCTGTTAATGGACTAATGTATACTACAGGCGTGTAACTGGTATTGATGATGGAAATTTATCATTATCTGATTGGTTCAAATCTTATTTCCATTTATCTTGTACTCTACTGGTCTCACTGGCTGTCTTTGTCAAATAGGCACGTGATTCAATGCCTTTCTTGTCTACCTAGGGACATCCCTGGTCGTCTTGCCTGGTAAATCAGACAAGTGACTTAATGCCTTTCACGACTCCTCATGGACCTCACTGGCCGTCTTTGTAAAACGGGCAAGTGATTCAATGTCTTTCACGACTGACCAGATAAATCCCTCCCAAAATTGATTCCCCCCTTAATTCAAGGATACTTCAGATCAAATTTTGGAAAATCTGATTGTCCCTACGGAAGAAGAAATCGTTGAAGAATTTGCTTAATTTTCTATTTCGGGTCCTACTCCACAGTCTCCACAGAATCAGACCTACCGTTAATAGAAATCATGAGCCAACTTCCCTTAATGCCTCTGACCAAGAAGCTAAAAATACAATCCTACGTACCTAGGCCACAGATAGGAAACCAACAGAAAAAATCTGTAGCGACGACTGCCGTGAGTGTCCGTGCTATAGCAATGTCCTTGTCCTGCTTGGTCGTCATCCGACGCAGTGTAAGATGAGTTCGGCTCTTCTGGTAAATCACAACTTGACAAACTGCTATAACTATGAAGATGACAAAATTTAAACCAACAAAAATAGCAACTGAATATTCTGAACCAGGTGTACCAGAATCTGACAAAGGAAGTGCAAGACACACACCGGAAGAGCTGTAAAACTTTCCCCGGAAGTAATCTTTGAAACTAGAAACTGGAAGCACGGCTATCACTATTGAGATGATCCAAATGCCTACAGACGTTCCTATTGCAGATTTAGTTGTGAATTGTTTTGGTGAAAATGGGAACACTATCGCCACTGTTCTATCTAGAGTTATAAACAAGATGGTAAAAGCGGAAGCCTCACTAGATATCGTGGATAACATGCCACTCACTGTGCATATGGTACTCTGGCGCCAAGTCTCTTCCTCCCAAACATAGCGATCTCTGAATACAGCATCAGCAACACCAATGATTATTATATAAATACCCATAAGTATATCAGACAAGCTCAGATTGATAACGAAAACGGAGTAGCTTTTCGTCAGATTTGCCCGGTCGTACTTCAATCGGTAAACCAAAACGAACCCATTGCCAAAGACTGCACAAAGTCCTATGATCCAAAGAGCTACTCTTAAGATAGATAAACGGATGAGATCAGTACACGATGAAATACTATCACGAGGAGCGATACAATTTGGATCAATTACCGAGGCAGGTTTGGCACAGCACAACGTATAGGAATCAACGTACAAGTGTCCAAGACTGGTCAAGCCTTTGAACATATGTTCCGATAGCTGTAAGCTATTGTTGCGTAGATCAAGCCTCTTAACATAAGCCAGGTTGTTAAACGTGTCAGCATCTATCCATTTGATATAGTTGGAACTGAGATTCAGATATGTTAGAGCCTCACAGTCAACAAATATGTCAGAGGAGAGGTTGCTGATTTGGGATCCAACGAGATGAAATTCGCGCAGTAAATGCAAACCTGAAAACGCCATTTTATCTATCGCGACAATAGGATTGTGATTTAAAACGAGATATTCCAACTTCAAAAGCATTGTAAATGTGTTGGCTGGTATGGAGGATATATCATTAAAACTGAGGTCAAGTCTAATTAACGACCCGAGTCCATTAAAAACGGAATGATTGCCAAAGTATAAAGAATTAATGTGACAGTGTTGCAATGAAAGAGAAAAAATCGTGGGTAATTGGAATGGAAGAAGACCAGTCCATTCAGAAAGACGTATTTGCAGAGTAAGTCCTCGTATCTGTTCAGGAATTTGACCAAGTACCCGGGACTTGCTGACGTCGTTGTCTACACAATTGAATATAAGTCCTTGACATGAGCAGGAGTTTGGACAAATGACGTCACAATGCCGTTCGTCGTCACCTTGAGGACAATGGCTAAATCCATCACAGACCTGTTCCAAAGGGATACATTTTCTATTGCTGTGACATCTAAAATATCCAGGACAAGTGAAGTGTTCTGAAAAATATAAAGACAACTGCATTGGTTATACAATAGTGGTACTACCTATTGCAAAAGAGTTCAAACACTGGTTATTAATCTAACATCACATACCATTCTGCTGACAAATTACAGCTCAGTCGAGTACGCCATCATTTGCGTAATTAATATAACTGCATTTGTTTACGACATTTTCTGTTACACTTGTCTGATATACTTACCACATTCTTGCTCGTCTTCATTGTTTGGACAGTGTGGTACTCCATCACACAAGAACCTTGCATGGACACAGTAGGACTCGGGGCATTTCATAAAATTCGTAGGACAAGCAAATGATTCTGAAATGGAAAAAGGAAAAATCGAAATTTTGCAGCTTCATACTAAATAATGAATAACAATCGTTTCAAAAAGGATTCTATGTTATTTGCACTTCAGTGATCAAACTATGTAATTTTCAACTTACTTCCATCTTACTCCCGGTGATGTCAGTAAAACCATTCTATATAATTTCGGCTCAACTTCCATATCGTTGTGATGGAATGCCAAAGATTTTCAAAAAGCATATTGCTTATAAAATTATCAATTCTTTGCAGAACATACTGAAGCAAACATGGTACAGGTTTGTGCTCACGAGTAATCATGCCGACGGAGAAAATGCAGGAATATATGCCATCAAGTTATGTTACTTTTGATCAAAATGAAAGTAGACTCAAGATTACCACAGTTTTGCAGATGTGTCAGATCTCTGCAAGAGTTCGGTTCACCAGTGACGTCAAAGTCCATCAAACAGCGATGATGAGAGTAGTAATTCATTCCGTTCAGACACAGAAGCTGTGGTTCGAAGTATTCTGGACCGATGAGAGTCTGGTCTGTGAATTTACGTTAATAACGGAGGTAACACTAAAATCAATCGCTTAATGTTTATTACAACATGTATAGAAACTTGTGGAGGTAATTACAATATTCTTCTTCATACGACATGACACTGTGCTTAGCACAGAACTGTTACTAAACATTTAATCTATCAATCACAGACACGTAAATACTAATCACGGGAAAACTTCCACTGCAATCTAACTTCCAACTGTTCACTTCTTGCCAACAATGTTAGGGCTTAGTGTTAAAACTAAAAATTTCGTTTATTCTAGAGCCGAATAACAAAAGTGTAAATCAGAAAAAATGAAACTAATCAAGAAATGGAGAAACGTCTTCCAGTTGACCGATCTGAATTTTACCTTCCGTGCAGACTGGTCTTGAAATACGTAGTATCGGTCTTGAGTTGTCGTTTATCTTCAATTTGACCCAACGAATTGGAACATCTGCGTCTATTAGTACTGTGGCCTTTCCCTGACAAGATGGATGGTCTACAGGAAGTTCTATAGAGCAGCTAGAACATAAATTAATCATAGACAAAGACGACGAGCCTGCTGTTTCTGGTGAAACAGGAAATGTAGCTTTACATAATTTAGTTCGACAACCGAAAAACTTATCATGATATTAAAATATACATGACATCTGTCATCATGTTTGTTAGTTCTGGAAATGAGACAATGTGATCATAACAAAAAAAGTTAAATTTTAACACTGTGCAGTACTGGACTGTCCGCTTTTAAAGGACCCAACGTATTTGTTTTCATTTTTTAACATCACTTTTCAAAAAAATGTATTTAGGAATAAGTGGCACTCACGTCAACCACTTCCAGAATATTCGACAAAAATAATGAATTCGGCCACTCATGATACGACTGGCTGCATACCTCATCGTTTTAGTGTTCCGTGAACAAATAATAAGTAAATAACAGAAGTGAAATGACTAAATAGGAAAGAATAACGACTTGGAATACAATATAAGAAACGAAAGGAAAATCTTCAGTGATTTAAAAAAAAAAAAAAAAAAAACACGCGAAGCGATGTACTTATAGAAAAGCAAATGCCCCGGAACTTAATTGGAACTGAAGGAATATACCAACCCACGATAGGTATCACACTCTTTTAAAACATTTCCACAGTATGTAAGATCTTTCATGTGTTTTCCGTCCCATTGGCTAGAGAATTGGATGTGTGTTTTTTTGGAAATAAAACCCAAAGAAACAAAGCTCTACTATTTGGTAACAATTTCGTGAGTGTTGTAGCAGATTCTTCAGGATATGTTCACTTTTGTACTGGATAGAAACGGGCTGATCATGTATCAACTTAATGTTGATAGATCCGTCTTCTTTATTTTTGAAGTAGCATCCTTCCTGGTGTGGAGACGTATCCAAGAAAGCGGAAAATGGCCATGTCATCTGTACGACATCCGAGATGTAGGAGCAATCGACAGTTTCGTAACCTACCAACACGATAAACCTCTGTTATTTCTGACGTCATGTCTTATATTATAATAATTCAATATAATGTCACATTTTAAGAGAACATCATTATAGGCGATTAGTGTCATTCAGGCGCACATAAACGTCTTCAAACATGTAAATATCATTAATTAAGACTTGTTAGAAGTGTCGTTTTGAAAGATCATGGCCAGTCAGGTAGCATTTTTTATCTATTATGTATCAGAAAGAATAATCTCTGTTCGAAGAAGTTTTTTAAACTAATGCATTGTATCATATGTTATTACTCATAGCATTGTGATATGGTCTAGTGTATCCTTTATTCTTTTATTTGATATTTATGGAGGAAACATTTAGTATTACTTTTTTCAGGAGGTATGAGCAACATGCTTTGTGTTTGTCTTTCTCTAGTTTTGTTTATTAAAATAGTATACATAGTTTGTCCATTGTGCTAATTGAATACGCGCAGTCAAAATTAAGCAAATGTATGAACCATATACAAATATACAATCATACGAGAGCCCACGAAAGGATTATGTACACAGCAAAGATTAAAAGATACCAAACGTTAGTCACCTTCACTTTATTATAATAGTAGTTTTGTTATTAGATAATGTTGCAAAATTAAGAATTTCTAATCCTTGACTATTTGGTTTTTTTCATTTTTAGCGACGGAAATGGAAATGAAACGAGGAGTTTAAAGACATTGTAATTGAATACATTTACGAATAAAGTTAAAGTTTGCATTAAAATACAGATGTCAAAACAATTAATAGATCAATATATAAAAAAATCACCACTGGTTCCGAAATGTACTTTCACTGAAGTAGCGTTACATCGTTTTCCAGGACAATGAGTGGAACAGGAATATGTTGGATTCTCCAGGTAACAAGATTTCTCGTCCTCATCGCTTCCATCATAACAATCAGGAATCATATCACATATCCTATAAATAGATACATGCCTCGGGGATGGGCATGGCCAAACGGTCTCTATCTGCTTCGTATACCCTGGGAAAACACAATTTTAAACCTCTCTACAGTATCTGAAACTGTTATTTTTATACTATAAACCTCTTCTTTTCCGGAACAGAAATACAGCATTTTGTTTTAAAGGGAATGGGATACATGTCTTTGGTACATAGTGGATATATGATCGAACTTTTTAAATACCAATGTGTTGTCGAAAAATGTTATAATATGATCCCCCATGGTTAACAACGGTATTGGAGAAATATCTTAAGGAGGTTTACATAACATACTTGATAAGGGAAGTGACGAAGTGACTGTTTAAATAGATATGTTTGAGCGTCAAAAATATGGTTCAAGGCTTCACGTCTTTTTCTTCTTACCGTTGCAGGTTTTTGTCCATTCGTCGGATCCATCTTCACATTCTTCCTCGCTATCGCAAACGTCATAATCAGCAATACATTGACCACTGTGGCATGTCCACTGACCCGACAAACACACAAATTGATCTGCAGCAAAATAAGCGAAACTGTGGCTAATGGTTCACACGGAGCATTATATTCCCGAATATTGTCAACATTCTTAGTTAAGTCATAATTAAGGTTTTACCATTACATAGGTTTGAAAGCAAAGATGTTTTGAAATACATGAATGAAACGCTTTACATAAACATATCATGAATATCTATGAAACAAAGCATCTCAGTGGATAATTTGATAACAAAAATATTTCCTATCTGTATGGAGTTTTAAAAGTGTTATTTCAAGAATTATATGTAAACGGTAGAGAAAAACTTACAACAGTTACGTTCGTCAGAACCATCATAACAGTCACGATAGAAATCACAAACAAGATTCAAAGGTATAGATTTTCCATTGTCACAGAGGAAAGTTGTCACCTCGGCCTCGGCTGTAAAGACAACATATACTACATGATCCATGTATATGTCAGAATGCATAAAAAATGTTTATCATATAGTCAAGGTTTGATATCCAGAATAAATATTTCAAATTTAAAACATTTATTGTTCGTTTGCTATAGGAATTTTGCAAGGGGGAAGATAGACAACTCACTTGTTTGCGTTTGGCATGAGTCACCTTCATCTGATTCATCTACACAATCTGGGCGATTATCACATACAAAATCAGACAAAATAAACTCTCCTGTTTGTCTACATTGGAAAAGGCGGTTCAGGACGTGCGGAGATGTCGTGTTCATGTCACTGGTGATTGGTGAACGTGTAGCTGGAATTATTGATGTCATATTGTCAAAACCAGAAACGTTTGAAAGATATATGTTGGAATATTATGATAAGAATCTATCTTACTAAATGAGCTATGCACAAAAGATGTATTAAAATGTACCAGTATACCAATAATTTTATTCGCACGTTATTGTAAACTTCCAATACCTATATGGATATAATCTGAATTGTATTACAGGGGCCTACTTAGAGTAATTATCATATCTACTGTTGATGACCGTCTTGATTTAGCATCATCAACTTTTCCTTTAAGTTTGTATCACGTTAACGTCATAGGTAAACATGACTTATTCTGCAGAATATTTAGCAGGTCGGCAATGAAACAGCACTGTACGGAAAGAAAGGTTATGATTTATCTTACGCATTTGCACTTCCTGCTCGTCCGTTACTGTGGAGTTCAGGCAGATTGAATATTTCATACCGCATCTACTATACACCCAGTTTGTAAAGACGTTCCCCGCGAAAGATATTGATACACACGTGCTGTACTCGTCCCCGTGATCATAGTCCTTCCTGAAAAACGTGAGACTAAATGAATATTAATTTTGATACAAATAGGACATGCTTAAAAATTGTGGAAACAAATTTATTAATGTTTTATACGTTTATTTTTCACAGACTTAATTCATATCGTTGAAAAATATTAAGATTAATATATATCACTTTAATATATATATATATATAATCTAACAAAAATCCATTTTAAGGAACCTTTCATTTTTTCAATATGCCCTTGTCGCAGCTCAGACACAATTTGGATACACTTATCTGCAACGTAACTGTTGGTTAATAAGAGGAAATCTTTTCGATCTAGAAACATAACAACATGTACATATCTTTATCAGACAAAACGGAGGAAATGTTTACCAGGCAGAGAACGTCAGTCGTTTGGACTTATCTCGTATGAAGTCTTTCCATCGAAAGTTCCTCTTTTCGTTGTTTACTTCTGGTTCATTGAAAATTAAAAAAATGAAACTACACTCTTCGCATGGAAATTCAGACAAAATATACATATATGACTACCAAGGTTAAGTAAATACAGGTATTTATGAACTACGAATACTACATATATATACAGGTATTATGGTATATTTAATAGATACAATATATATTAAGTGAATATACCGCTTTGCTGACTTAAGTAAGGAATATTTCTATATAATAAAAGAATACATTAATCTTACAATTTTCCATATTGTATTTAAATGTGCTAAACGAATGCCTCTTATCCTGAAATTCTAAAGGTATATATAAACAAAGCAGTTTTTTTCAGATCTTATATTTATGTAAAGTCATTAAATGTTTTTGTGACGCAAACAAATCGAAATCAGTAGTTTCTCAATATCTTGAATTTTTTTAATATAAGTTTCATTTCGGAGATTTTCAACAAGTTCAAAGCTCAGGATAAACATGGGAAATCTGAAAAATGCCACAAAATACGTTTTATCGGAGGAAGTTTGAATTTAAACATCAAAGACCGTGTTCTAAATAAACTTATAAATTGATTAATTTTTCCTTCTCATCCAAATCGACAAATTCAAGATTGAAAATGAAGAAAACATTTTCAAAATACGGCAAACATGACCATCAAAACTTACTGATAGGAAAATGTTGCCATCCGATCCCTCCTATCCCGTACTTGTGGATGAACTCATTTATGATATCTGAAGCGACTAGTTGTTCCTTCCAGTTAGATATCGTAATGGCTTCGCATTTTGTCTCTCGATCTTTGTTCGCACTGACGGAGTAACATCCCCTCCTAAAACATAAATATTGTAATTTTGTGTCGAGGTCAAAAACAACTTGTATACGGTAATATTGGTGTTAATGTTTGGATGTCGGTCGCCTTCCTTACTTCATTTAAGTCACATAAGTACAATGAGACAAAATGAAACAAGTCATTTTTTATTTTCATAAAATCAATCGAATCTGATTGGAATACATGAGTATGACAGGTTTAGCTCTACAATAAATCTTACATAGAATTGAAAATAATATGGTTTTCAATACACTATGATATTGTGTGTAGAATATAATGAATACATACCTTTAGGAAACAAATCACAGATGATTTACATTACCCATCAGAGTCATCATTTCAAGGTCAATTTCACATCACCATCAGAAGTTCAGAAGTCCAGATATTTAGAAATTAAGCAATTATATTTATGGGATCCTCTGTTTTTCAGCAGCAAATGTTATGTCATTTAAATACCTAACATGTTCATGTATGTAAAGCGTTCTTGTTCATCGATGTAATAAATGACCTTTTTATTGGAACTGTTACAATCTAACTTAAATAACGATGGTTCTATATTAAAGAAAGATTTCATGAAATGATAAATGTTTTCTCAATACTTACCCTGGTACAAAGATACTCTCTATTCTATCTTTATTCATGCATTTTTCTGCATCAAACAAAAATTTGTTATAATTCATTAAAGAAAATTTCAAAGAAATAGATATAAACATGAATCAATTGATAAAATCAAATAATAGACAATTTATCGCAAAGGGACAAATTTCAGATGTTATTCAAAATGCATTTTCTAAGTCGCACTCTCTGATTTGAGACATATTCTCTTTAATAAAATAAATTAGTCTCCCTTGATGAATTGTGAATTCTCTTTTTATTACAAAGTTATTGAGAAGTATAAGAATTTTGAAACAAAAAATAAAATTTAAAAAAAGACTGAAGTTGTTATTCTCTTCTAAAATGTTACAACCCGAAATATTTATTAAATATCAACTGTTAGAACTACCAAAAGATAATTAAATTAAGTTTGCTTTCTTGTTGTAAAAACTGCACGTACCATGAGAAACAGACACAAAGTGAAACGGTACTGTTATAGTGGCATTAGTGTTCTCATAAATATTTGGATGACATTCATAGAAGCCTGCATCATGGATTGAAGAGTATCTAATCTTTAAGACACTAGATGTAACGTTTTCAGGTGTAGTTGATGTAGTTAATGTCGTTCTATACCTCCATCTATCCTGTTCTGGTTTTATCAGGACAGTTTTTCCGTTCATCGATAAAACCCAAGTTAGTGGTAGCAGTGTTGGATCAGGAGTGGAACATCTCAAGACCAACGTCTCCTGGAAAGTAACCTCGCTTGGTCCTGTTATGGTCAGCACTTCAGTGATAAACGGAAAGAATAGTATTCATTATAACAATTAACGCTCAGAATAATTCATTTGAAATTATTTATCAGTTGATACCTGACTGGATTGGTCAATAGATCAATAGATATTCAAATATAAACAAAAGTGAATCTCATTTTAAAGGATATTGCAATGCTCAATGAGTTAATATCAAACAAAAACGGCATTCTGAACATTATTTCTCATAATCAAAAACCTATTGTAGTATCATATGTTTATTTCAGAGGAACAGATTAATAAGCAAAGACATTCTTGGTCAGCTATATGGTATATAGAAACACTCATTTTTTCAAACCATAGTTAAGTAACGTCAGATGATGGAAAACCGGGCATCCTCAGTTGAAAATCAGATGTGTTTGATCGTAACTCATTTGTAGTTGTGATTTATCCCTGGGAAAGTCGTAATTCGTTCAGTTAGGCAGCCACATGTTACTTCAATTACACTAACCTCAAAAGGACGGGCTTTAAAGTAGCAATGAAAAAACTTAACGTGGTGCAGTAATAATGAGACTTGTGAATGACGCAGTGACGTCGTTGACATTTTCATTATTTCCCAATTAATCAACCACCATTTGCTAGTCACGTGCATACATGTACCTTATGGTATTTCGAAAAAGCCGTTTTGCCTTAATTGACTTCACTTGAACGACAATTTTGTGATTACTTTTGATACTCAGTGGCATGCAATTGTTGTACAGCACGCAGACATAAATAATATTTCAACAACGATTAAGGAAGTATATGTCGAGTTTATTTATATACCATTATATACCAATTTAAATTGATCATCCACATAAGATTGTTTGTTAACATATGTGAAACCACTGGTTTATTACTGGGATAGTTCCGGATACTCAATTTGAAATGTCATCTCCCCTATACATGTTTTACATTACATACCGTATATTTCCCAAAGACAGACACGTTCATATAATAATTTTGTTTGGGATTCTCACTACTTTGCTTTGCTTCATCTAAGGACTAGTTTTATACCAATCAACAAAGCACATCTACGATAGGGAAGGTAAGTTAGTTCCTGACAGATAACCCTGGCGAAAACTTCTTAAAATTCTATTCATCAAATGATGATACGTTAAATTCCTATTGTAATTAAAAGTGATCGTTTGTTTTCAATGTTTACAATAGTAAATATACATGTATATTATGATAAAAACGAAGGAATACTACATCATTTCAGATATTTTTCGATTACAATATCATATATACTTACATTCTTTAGATAGCCCACACGGCACCATCAGGATGAATAGGGATATTAATTCAGAGAAACGCATGATGAGGTTTCTGAAATCACAAAAGTTTACATCATTACCAACTTCCCCAGCGATATCAAGTTCACAAATATCAGATAGAAGAGTTGTTTAACTAGTAAGGAACAGTTCATTTGCACTTTACCTGAAATTATTGGTCATGCTTGAGATATACAGGTATAGATGTATGGTTATGAGAAATACATCCTTACATGTAAATATATTTATAAACTTCATAACAATTACATTAATAGTAGAGAGATAAAATTTGTGTAAATCAAAAATTTCTTTTGATTTCTGACATGGGATTGCCGCCATTGTTACCAACTCAAACAAAAATCTAAAAATGCAAAAATACTACCAAAACAAACACTACAACTTTATAAAAAAAATTATCAATGAACACCTGCCTTAAAATAAGTTAACACAGTCATGGTATCAAACTTCTTATTTTCAGCAAATTCCAACTTGGAACGCTTTAACAATATGACCACGTGTAAACACTAGGGAAATTTCACTTCGTGTAAAGCTAGTATTTGGTGTGCAGACACAGATTCGAGACTAGAAAAATAGTAGTCTCCAACACAATGCAAAGATATTATTATGCAAAATATTAAATCCCATATTGTCGACTAGAACATGACAAGACTAGTTTTAGCAAGGACTTATATCTTTATTAAAACCTTTATAATGGAGCAATCTAATAAACAAAACTTCCATCCATGGCCACACCGGAAAAACTATGTATGTTACATAGCTTTGTACTACCCTATTTGTATTTCGCGCGCATAGACTGTTGTACGCGCACGGGATGTGCGACATGGTTTACTAGAGGAGAGAGACAATGGACACTACCTGTGTAAACAGCATGTGAGGGTAGCGGTATCTCACCGGGGCATATATTACCTTTATGGGACCAATATACGCAAACTGCAGCTTGCGGTAAGTACCGACCACACAAACCCATATGTGGATATGTTTATATATGTTGTTAAACTGTTGTGTAGATAAACAGCGAGGTTTCATATTATTGTCTATTTATAGATATCCACCCGATACGTGGCACAGGTGTGTACAGGTGCACGTGTTGTATTGTTTAGGGTGTATAGGGCATTACATGACCTGTAGGTTACATTGGTTGTATTATAATCATTTATTATCATATATGTAGTTGTAAATATAGATATAATATATAATAAAGGGTTGTATTTGGCTACATACAGTTATATCACTCACGTGTATGCACGGGTGCATGCCAGCATGACAGATATTAAGGCGTCGTGTGGCATACTTTAGTGAACTTTACATTGAAGTTGATTTAGCTGTAAATATGTATTATGCCATATTATATATATTCATATATGTCCATATTATTGCTGTAAATTGTTGGGGATGATTTAATAACGATGTAGGGTTATATTTATATCTATTGTAGTTTAACCCAGTAGAGAGGGATAACTGCCAGAGGTGCACACATGTCTTACTAAGTGGTCTGGGGTACTGGGTTGCCTGTTGAGGGACACAGCCAGCACTTATGATGAGGATAGACTGTCCACCTTGTGTTCAGCATTTGGCTAATGTATAGCTCTGGAACTTTTCTGGTTGTTGTGTTCCGGCAGTCTTTATGTGACGGTGACCACATCACATGTGTACTGACACTTACTCCATGGTGGATATCAGCCCATCAGTATACGGTGTCACTGTAGCAGGAACATTTGGGAAATAATGGAATACTGCCCATTTATAGAGTGTGACTGTTACTTTGTATATATCTTATGCCTTTAATCTATGACCTTGTTGAATATACGAGAGAGAGTGTGTATGAAGTGCAACCATTGTTAATAGTGTATAGTGTAATTAAATATTGTAAATAATGTAAATACTCTGTGTTGTGTTGCTTTACCGTCATCAGAGTGGACAATATGCTCATCCCGTTACAATGTATGCTAACTTACCATTTATTAACAGGCTAATACTTGTGATTCTCCTTAATGAACACTGATGTAAAATAACAAAATGACATTAATTTCGTTTTTCAAGTATATATATAATGCAGTTCTACTTGGAAAGAAATTTATTGTATAAGAAATGTGAAGAAAAATGTAAATATAAAAATAATCCATCCCTCCCTCTCCTAAACGACGATTTTATATTTCTTGAACTATCTGCTATGCATGAAAAAAAATGTCTTGGATTATAAAACAAACAAACAAATTCCGTATGCAAATCAGAAAGTTTCAGCTCAGTTATATCAAAGTCCTTCTGAAATTAAAAAGATCGCTATTAATTGTCATAGATATAATTTAAATGTACCGGTCAAAATATCTGTTAGCTTGCTCATTTACTAGTGTAAACCGAAAGGTATAATCGAAACACTCCAATGTAATTAAATAATCCTACCTGGTTTTCCTTTATAAATAAAAACACTCCAATGTAATTAAATAATCCTACCTGGTTTTCCTTTATAAATAAAAACACTCCAATGTACTTAAATAATCCTACCCACGTTTTCCTTTATAAACATAACAACCCTATGTAATGAAATAATTCTACCTTATTTTCATTTATAAACAAAGACACTCAAATGTAATTATATAATCCTACCACGTTTCCTTTATAAACAAAAACACTCCAATGTAATTTAAAAATCATACCTCATTTTCCTGTATAAACTAAAACAATTTAATGTAATTAAATAATCCTACCTTATGTTCCTTTCGAAACAAAATCAATTTAATGTAATTAAATAGTCCTACCGTATTTTCCTTAATCCGTTTGAATTCCGTTCATCATGCCTTTGATCTAAACATTTAAATCAACTGAGCTGTAAAAAAATCACTTTTATGCAACTTCAAGTTACATGTATATGTTCCAAGCGCTATTGAGCGCTTAACAGCTGGATCATAGTTGCGGGCTGTTATATATAAAACGATGTTGAAGACCGGCATCATTTATTATGTATGTATGTATGTCTGACGATATTTAGACCATAGTTCATGTGACTGCACGTTCTGCAATCAATAAATAATCACACTTGTTAATACACGTGAAAATGAATGTTTTAATATAATTTCGGTGTTCACAGCAGAATATCAACTTGCATTCCCATTGAATAGTCTGGTTGAAATAATCATTCAAAATTCAACACACAAGAAAACTTGTTTTCAATTATTTGACTTCGTTAATTGAGTGGAAACTAACGAGATGATAAAAGCTTTCTGCAGGAATTGTTACTTAATAATTGACATCATTAATTTCTGTGACAGAAAAAAGACAATGAATGGAACAGGTCAAACGAAGACAACTTTCAATTATTCTGCGTGTAGAGTGATCTAACCGTGATTGGTTTTTTGCCTCCTGGGGGTAAAGACCACACAAATAATACTTAACGTAACCACATCATGAAAACGTATCTGATTAACAATAATATCTACCTAAAAGTAATTATGAATCACAAACGAAGAGAAATCATTCCTAGCGATATGTTTTCATAAAAATATATTAAGAAAAGTGCTTCACCGCCAAAACAGAACAATGAATACACACATTGATTAGGAACATGTTTCATGGAGGCATGTAACTGCAATCTACTTGTCTTGTTGTTATCATAAATTTCATATCAACACGAATTGTCATGACAACATACTAGTACTGGTAGTGAGGACAGTGTGGTCTGTTGGTACTAGTACTGGTAGTGAGGACAGTGTGGTCTGTTGGTACTAGTACTGGTAGTGAGGACAGTACGGTCTGTTGGTACTGGTACTGGTAGTGAGGACAGTGTGGTCTGTTGGTACTGGTACTGGTAGTGAGGACAGTGTGGTCTGTTGGTACCGGTACTGTTAGTGAGGACAGTGTGGTCTGTTGGTACTAGTACTGGTAGTGAGGACAGTGTGGTCTGTTGGTACCGGTACTGGTAGTGAGGTCAGTACGGTCTGTTGGTACTGGTACTGGTAGTGAGGACAGTGCGGTCTGTTGGTACTGGTACTGGTAGTAAGCACAGTGTGGTCTGTTGGTACTGGTACTGGTAGTGGGGACAGTGTGGTCTGTTGGTACTGGTACTGGTAGTGAGGACAGTGTGGTCTGTTGGTACTAGTACTGGTAGTGAAGAGAGTGTGGTCTGTTGGTACTAGTACTGGTAGTGAGGACAGTGTGGTCTGTTGGTACCGGTACTGGTAGTGAGGTCAGTACAGTCTGTTGGTACTGGTACTGGTAGTGAGGACAGTGCGGTCTGTTGGTACTGGTACTGGTAGTAAGCACAGTGTGGTCTGTTGGTACTGGTACTGGTAGTGGGGACAGTGTGGTCTGTTGGTACTGGTACTGGTAGTGAGGACAGTGTGGTCTGTTGGTACTAGTACTGGTAGTGAAGAGAGTGTGGTCTGTTGGTACTAGTACTGGTAGTGAGGACAGTGTGGTCTTTGGTACTGTGAGTGAGGACTGTGTGATCTGTTGGTACTAGTAGTGAGGACAGTGTGGTCTGCTGGTACTGGTACTGGTAGTAGAGACTTGAAGATCTATTGTACTAGTACTGACAGTAAGGTCTGTTTGGTCTGTTGTTAATCTGTTTGTAGTTAGGTTTAGGGTCAGGGTTAGCTTATGGTTAGGGTCTGTTGTTAATCTGTTGGTAGTACTGGTAGTAGAGAATTGGAGATCTATTGTACTAGTACTGACAGTGAAGACATGGGGACCAGTTGATAGCACTGGGAGTGAAGACTTGGAGATCTGTTGGTAGTACTGGGAGTGAAGACTTGGGGATCTGTTGGTAGTACTGGGAATGAAGAGTGTATTTAGACTTACCTGATAATGTAATTATTAGTAGGTTTATTTCTTATCCTAAAACCAACATATCCTATTTAAAAAAATCGAGATAACAGTTCAACGTTTTACTTAGTAATCCAATAATATCAACAAGTGCAAACACTCTTAGATCCGTGTTAACGTAAAACTCCTAGGGGGAAATATTCAATCATAGATCAGTTATATTGATATCGGACTACGTTCATACGATAGTCCTATTGTTTCTTATGTCCCTTCCTGGCGATATATTGTATTGGAAAACAACCTGTTTAACAGGTTCATATATCGTAATGAGTATTTAAATTACAACTCTCAATGGATTATTTATTTCATATGCTGTTGTACAACTCCCTAAAACGGCCTTACAGTCGCAAGAATTTTATCGAATTTAATCAATTACCCCAACATCTTCACCTGGATGACCAGGTGACGGCAGTAATCTTGTAATAATAATAACCTATATATCAAAGTTGATCAAAATCTGAGAATGCTGAAATTTCCCCCTCATTAGTTGCCTCACTATGGCAGTTTTTTTGTCCAGTAAGAAAACGGATGACACCACGATATCCATATTTTCATCACAATCGAAGAAAATCAAATTTCAACCAAACAAATTCCTCATCTTACCCGAAAGTAGACGGACCTCAACATCCTATGAAAATATTTTCAACAAAGTCTCACTCAATTCTAACAAATAGCAACAAAAAAAAACCAAAAAAACTGTACAACAAATTTTCAATCAGTAAAAGCCAGAAAATGGCCGTTATTTTGAATTAAGTAGAAAGACATGTTTATCCAACAACTGAAGTTGTCAACAAACACACACAAAACATTTCATTGCTGGCGCCTTATCCTTCACTGCACTAAACTTCACGCTGTAAGCCCGTCTCATGCCATCTGGAGCAATTAGGGTAGAGTGTCTTGCCCATGGACACCACCACATCAGCACGGACCGGTACGTTACTCAGCCTTCTGGGAAACATATCGCCAGGGATAGGAAGCGTGGAACCACGCCCCTCAGATCTTTGCCTGAGCTTATATATAGGCCAACTATCTAACCGTCTAAGCTGTCCTGGCCACCAAATTTGTAATTAAACAACCATGTTAACTTCCTCAATAAAATAGCTCCTAAATGACAAACAAAAACGTAGAAACAAAAGCAAAATGTTCAAAGATAAAAGAATGAACATCATCACTACAAGCAATATTGCCTGGGGCATCACTTTAAATGACTTTAAATTACCTATTTTCAGGTCGTGACAGCGGTCGTTTGAGAAATAACGGACACCACTGATGTAAATCCATGCTATTTAAAGCGAATATTAAAGTTCAAAAGTATTATACAACCAAAAAATAATTTGGTAATGGCACTTCAATATTTATTTACAATTTTCTTTTTTTCACGTTTGACAATAAAGTGAATTTCAACTTCTATATTTAGATTCAGAGCTTGCCTCAATCAATTAATCTCTATTACACGTAACCTACATGATTCAGTGGCATTTTTATTCTGATCGTGGTGAGGTTCAAAGTACATACATGGTGATATTTAGAGTCGTGACCATAGAAAACTAGTAATCAAACTACAGAGCATATACCATTACACCTAATAACACATATTTAAATCGAATGAAAAGATGCAGGTTGTTGACTGCATTTAAACAGTGCAGGTAATTAATTGCTTACGTGATGTTACTGCAGCACTGTTATTGGAAAATACCAGAATTCAAATTGATGCCGAGACTCACTTTTAAAGTCCCTTGTGGGCTTGTTACAAACGCCTAGGTCATTTGTGAAAGCAATGTGTTTATTTGAATCTTCACACAAAATGTCTGCGCGAGAAACGTTTTATTCTGCTTGTTACATGTTGTGACTGTTACAGATAATCATTACGATACATTGGATATGGATACACTACTAGAAAGTCGATGGTTTGATCTCTTCTAAAATACTTTATCAGATTTAGCAACGAATTTTTATATAAATCTGCGTCTAGATTAACGACACAGTCGTGTACAATAATAACACTGAAAATTGATGAGGATGTTAAGGAAAGGAAGCGGACAAAGTATTGTAAGTGTCAAGCCTCGATAAACGTTAAACATGGCAGACATAGCGGCCATTGCGTAACATGATTGTGCAATCATGGTTTCTTTTGACAAAACCTGTCATAAACTGCTCAAATTCCACATGTAGAATTTAACTGAAATTTTTCTGAAATGATCCTGAGGTGGCCCTGACCAAGTGTTATTATTTTCTTCAAACTTCTCATATTCCACTAGGCATTGAGCTGAAAATTGGAGGGAATGTTAAGGAAAGGAAGACTACGGACGTTTACACCGATTTCCGTATTCGCACTAACACAATGTAAGGTGTCATCAACATTTCTCTTGTCATGTTTCGACATAAGATCACATGACAATAGAAATTATAAAATATTCATTTCTACTATACGGTGACGACGTGCAAGTCAAGAGCATACAGCGTGACAGTGAGCACTTAATCTAGAGCTGTGAAGTCTATTAACCAATATTTGTGCAGAAATTCTTCCTCAAGTTGCTTTATTCAACCTAGTGGATCTTGCAAACCGATTTCCTCAACAAAGAGCGCTTAAATAACGATCCTGATAGGCTGTCGTACCCCGTGGTCTACCTGTTCGATGTCTCTCGGTGATATTTCCTGTCATCTGGAATCGATTCCATAATAAAAAAAAATGACAATCTGTGACGCATTAAAGTGTGCAGTCATAGTTCGTTGAGATTGTCCTGCTTGCAGCATCCCATCTGCTCCGCCTGCCTCTGCAGCTGTCATGTAACGTCTCATGATGACAAATGTTCGAAACAGGATACAGAATAACAGGGCATTCAGAGGAAATACAAAATATGTTTATTGATTTGACGTCCACACAGACTTTCAATAAAACCAAAATTGACTGTTTGCTTTTACCCTGTGTTACATCATGTCTTGCCGCAAGTTTATTGTAAGTTGCATGTGCAAATCGTTACAAAAAGTTATTGTGCATACCTGAGTGATAAAACCGTGGAGAAG